ACTATTTAATTAACCCTTGTTTGAGAGATACCCAAAGCACAAAAAGTTGCAGTCGCCCCTAACGTGTTTCCTACGCTTTGCCCGTGTGGCCTTTCTAGTCCCACTGAACGTGCACATTGATCTGGAATCACTGTGGCCAAGTGTCCTCTTCAGTTCTCCTGCTTCCATGAACCTTTTCCTAGTCTTTCTCTTCTGATAATCTTAGTACGGCAGGAACCTCTGTAAGTTGACCACCAAACTGGTCAGCTTGTGGAAGTGGCCAACGTAAGGACCTGGGCACATACATGTGGTGCATGTTTACTCTGTGAAAATTCAGTCAACTTGAGGTGGTCGGCTATGGAGGTTCTCCCATATTTATATACATGCCACTTGTTTTACAAACTATTTTATGTTACTTCTTAGAGGATTTCTTATGTTTTATGCATTTCCATAATCCTTATTTCCCATTAGTAGAATTTCTATTCATTCCGATGGATTAAAAAAAAAAGAATGAAAATCTCTTCTAGTTATATCAGAAACAAGTTTTTAAAAAGACAATATTTAAATCATTTGGAAATCTTTTTTATTTTCCATTCAGTACTTCCTATCTGGCTGTGTGATAAGCCAACATTCTAGTCTTAACCCATCTGTACATCTTTCATTTCTTATCGCATAGCCAGATGCTCATCAGTTAAAAAACGGTTCAGGTTGAAAAATAACTGGGCACTGCTATATATTTTTTTTAAAAAATTAAAGAAGGAAACCAATCATGCTTTAGGCCATAATTTAAATAGAACAGTTTTTGCGTCCTTGGCATTAGAAGCAAGCAGCCTAAGTGAAATCAAACATTGTAAGATTTGGGACGAGAACCAGGCGAGGAGATAAGTTTAATAAAGACTTTGTTTTTCAGAGGCAGCGTCCTTTTGATTCCTTCCTATTATTAAATTCTGGTGTGTTTGGCTGAAAATAAACTTCAAGTGACTTTATGAGTTTAAAGAAGTGCCAAGTTATGTAAAAAGATCATGATCAGTCATTTGAATGGGAGTTTAACAGAGGAGTAGGGAGAGAGAGAGTAGTTCTCTAGAAATGAGACTTTTTAAAAACCCAAGTTTCCTTAAAGAATGTCAATACATTTGCTAAGTAGGCCACTTGTTAGGGGAAGAAGGTAGAAATTCTGATCGTAGTTATTCTTTCAGGGAACAAGAAAAGAGGCCTCTTGCCCATCCCAGTGCGGCACTGTGACTATTTGAGAACGCACTGCTGACCGCGTCCTTTTTTTCTCCCCCTGTCTTGCACCTGCAGGTTACCTACCTGGGGAAAGTCTCCACCACAGGCATGCAGTTTTTGTCGGGCTGCACCGAAAAGCCAGTCATTGAGCTCTGGAAGAAGCACACGCTAGCCCGAGAAGACGTCTTTCCGGCCAACGCCCTCCTGGAGATCCGACCCTTCCAGGTGTGGCTGCATCACCTTGACCACAAAGGGGAGGCCACGGTGCACATGGATACCTTCCAGGTGGCCCGCATCGCCTACTGCACCGCCGACCACAACGTGAGCCCCAACATCTTCGCCTGGGTATACAGGGAGATCAACGACGACCTGTCCTACCAGATGGACTGCCACGCCGTGGAGTGCGAGAGCAAGCTGGAGGCCAAGAAGCTGGCCCACGCCATGATGGAGGCCTTCAGGAAGACTTTCCACAGTATGAAGAGCGACGGGCGGATCCACAGGAACAGCTCGTCGGAGGAGGTCTCCCAGGAATTGGAATCTGACGACGGCTGAAGGAACCCAACGCGCGTCAGTGACGGCGGCATCGGTCAAGGAATTGAAGATGACAGATGAGTAAGCAACCATTCAAATTTGGGATGAAAAGACTGCCAAACTATTGGCTGACCAAGCTTTTTAAATTCAGAAGATGAATTCTAAATCTAAAGAAATGTATCATTAAAGTAATTACGTTCCATTGAAATCTGCTGCTGCTGTGACTGTGAGGAGGGTGGGAGTGTGGAGGGGAGGAAGGTTCTAGACTCTCTTCTTAGGGTTTCTTCTCACTTTCTGATGCCTCTCTGGGAGAGCTCTGTGCCAGTTTTAACTCCTCTCAGGCAAACGCTCTGTGGCTGGTGTTGGATGGACCGCTCCAATCTGCCTTATGAAATCCAACGAGAATGGTAGAGGGACCTGTCAGCTCTCTGGGGCGGGGGGCAGAGGGGGGACAGATGCTGTCCTGTGTCCTGCCCTCAGGCTTGAAGGACACGTGGGGTGGGGATGACCCAGAGAGCTCCCCTTCCCTTGGCACGTTTCAGATTCTCTCCTCCATATGCAAATCAGCACAGCCTTCATTGAGCTTTACAACTAACAACCTGGTAGTTGGCAGTTAATTCACAGTTAAAGATAATGCTTTTATTTACATAAATATATCAAGTAGTATCCTCTTATTGTATTGACTTCATCTATTTTCTTAGAATACTTGCAGCTACTAATAACCTCTTCCCTCCTCCGGCCCCAGCCACCCTCTTTGCTCCTTCTGACATCCCTAGTGGGTTAGCACCTCAACATACACTGCAGGACACCAAAAGGGAAGAAAATAACCAAGCAAATGAAACAGTCAAAAAACCAACCAACCAGGAGCTTAAAACAACCACCACCACAACAGAAGCTCTGGAAATGAGGGAGGAATAATCAGCAAGTGAAGAAACTTCACACACGCTGTCCTATTTCTTGTCAACTCTGACTTAAAGAACGGTAACTTATTTAATTGATGGTCCTGTCTGACGCATCCTTCATGGCAAGATTCAAAACTGATTTGACATCACCAAGGCATCCTTCAACATTGCACTTAAAGAGGGAATGAGTTAGATAAACTTGGCTTGTGTAGAGAACCCATGTCCACCTTAACCTAAAGGGAAATCTTATCTTGTTATCTTAAAATTGGTGATATCCTAGCATCAGAGTTGCCTGGTTTTTCTTTTTTTCTTGTTGTTGTTGTTATTTTTAATGAGAAGTTCTCACTAAGAAATCCTGAGATTTCCCAGTTTCCTGGACCTTTAAATATTATAAAAGCAATGAGTCAAAATGGAATGAAATTGAAAATGTTCAAATACATACACTGAAGACCACGAGCACATGACACCTTTTCCAGGTGATTCTGCTCCTTTAAGGAAGTCTGTTTTTAATCCTGGTAGTATTAGGGTCACTGGGGCACCTCGGAAGCCTTAAATGAGAGCTGATCCCATCTGGAACGCGACAGTGTCAGCATTTTGGTCCGCGTATCTGTGTGTCAGTGTATGCGTTTGTGTGTGTGTACGTGTGCCTCCCACATGTGGTGGGTCCAGTTTTCAGGCATGTAGAAGCAGCATGAGGTCAAACTGAGGAAGACTCACCTCTTGAAGATATGCTTGTCGCTTTACCACATATGTAAACTGTTCTTTAGCATAAATGCATTCATTCTTTAATAAAAATATGTTTGCATTAATAAAGCAGAGGAGTTTCATAATTAATGTCTCTTCATTGTGTAGCAGTGAAAACCTGAAGAACAAAACAGATCAAGCCATTGGACAGTTTGATCTAAAAATATTCTTAAAGTTGGCCATTCCTTGATTGCAGTTCAAAATCTTGTTGTATTTGTAAATGCTCAGTTGGTTTTTAATTTCTGTGTGCCCCTTAGCTGAGATAGTGGCACGTTAGCAGGTGAAATAGTTATTTGGTGGACTAGACTTACTTCAGTGTAGAGTCTTTACGAAAATCCCATGCACATCTCAAGAGACCCTGTGCTGAAATCCTAAAAGGTAAACATGGTGATTTTTCTTCTGACAGAACTGGATAAAAATTGTCTCCTCCAGGCTATGATATCTCAGAACAACCCCATGGATCAAGCAAGGTGGGCAGCCGTGGAGTCGTGTGTTTTGAGCAATGCCCTTCATGGAGTGGGTAGCAAACACAAAGGCTTTTAATGTGAGAATGGAGGTGCTGTGAAAGAGCTGACCTCAAGTGAGAATTGCAAGCTAACTCTTCCTGTCGAAAGGCTAAAAGTTGAAAGTTTCCCAATTTCAGTTGCTATACTTGCCTTGAATATACACGTAGGAAGAAGGAAAAAAAAAAAAGAAAAATCAACCAGCACATATCTCAGAAAATGTCATTTTCCTGAGTAAAAGTTAAGTTGAATCCTGACTGCACACATGCTTATTTATTGCATAAGCATTTGGTCATTGTATTTTTTCATGTTACTACGTATGAGGGGCTACATAATTGGGGCTGAGAGTATTGATAGAAGGCTTTTCTTGGGATGATTGGTAAGCAATTTAAAGGTAAACACACAGTGTTAGCTTTCATTTAGCTAACGAAGTCCTTTGGGATGGCAATCCTAATTCAGAGGGATAATTCGGCTTTGAATTATCAGTTTTTAATGTGTGGTAGTGTCTCTCTCTCTACTATATTTCCTGTGTTAGTCTTCACAGAGCATTTTCATGTACATTAACTGACAAGGTTTCTAGGAAGAATTCGGTACATCCCTTGGCCTTGGTAGCCAGGACGTGTCTGATGAGACTAGAGCCCTCTGACTTCTGGCCCAGGACTGTTGCTCTGGACAAGAACCACCTCCTTTGAATTTTTCATTTCCATTCCTCTTGAAACCTTCTAGCTTATTTTAAATTCACACACTAAACCATTATAAATAAATGTTCTTTGCTATTCATTTTTAAAGTGTTTTTAACAGCAACAGTATTAAAAGCAGAGGTCCAAGTAGGTTTCTTCGAGGACAAATAACATTCTATGAAGTTTTGCTCAAGTATGTCCCTGGCTATGAGCACAGGGCAAGATTCTCTACCTCTGTAAAAGCAAGATGCCTGATTCATCCGTTTTGTTTTTCTCAGGACATGTTAAAACTCTAAATCAAGTCCTTCTGTTACAGGATTCTGTAGCACCCTGTGTTTTTAATTCATGTCATTCATTGGCGTTTTTAATTATGTAGTTAGTTGTGTAAATATGGAAATGTCTGTTTAAACCTCTGGGGTGTAAGCATCTTTAAGATGGGCACTTTGTCTCTTTTGTTCCTGTTTTACCCCCAGCTCGTGTGGCAGACACAGGCCCCCAGGAGAAGCCTAACTTCTGTTAGCTGGCTGGGAGGATGGATGGAGAGACAGACAGAAGGGAAAATCACATGTGAATCTTTGATTTGTGATTTTTAAGACAGAATCCTGGAATGCAGGAGATATCCTAGCAACTCCCCTTCCCAGTCTCTTCGAAGATGAGCAAATGGAGAAAAACACTGCCCTTACCCAATTCCAAAAAATTACGGCTGCTTATAGATAGAAAAACAGTGTTCAGTGCTCAAAGCCACACAATTAAATGGAGCAAACATTATCCCGAGGAAGGAGACAGATGATGTATTTTAAGACACCTGCATTTCAGCAGATTACAGCCCTCCTGCCATTCGTAAATTTATTTCTATTCATTTCTGTCACTGAAAGAGAAAAGAGAGAAGATCTTCAGGGAGAGGGTTTTTACTTTCTGACAATACGAAGCACATGAACTCAGCTGGTTCTTTTCCAAGTTCATACATTAGAAGGCATGTTTTCCTCTTGGTTCTCCTCTGCTTTCCCCCATTTCTTCTTCTCTGCTTCTAGTCTTTCTATCTTCTCTCTCTTTCTCTCCTTTTTTTTTTTTTTTTGGCCTTAACTGTTTTATATTTACATGACATATTTCAGACTTTCTCAGAATTTAGAAAGAAAGAGCATATGTGCTCCGAATCCTAGATTATGTATTTTGGTTCGTGATCCATTGAATCAAAATTAGTTAAAACTGTGGAACTCTTCAGATTATCCTAAATTCCTCATTTTGGGTTTTTTTTTCCCCAGTCATATGGACGTGGACGTGATGATGATCTAATTCTTCATAGCTTTATGTTTCTTAAGTATTCCAAAATTGTGCTGTCTTTCCACCTTCCAGATATACCTTAAACTAATCTACAATGAGAGTGAAGGCCCTCATGATTGCCAGAGGTGACTCCCAAACTCTTATTTTCAAGATGCTTTCAGGATGCCAAGATTTGGCTCTTGGAATAATTTTATAGGCTACATCGTTCATCTGAAGAACTTTGGCTGCCCCTCTGGAAGAGCTGCCAACTGATAATAGTCACCAGAAGAAAACCCTGTGTGATGCTTAAACCCAAGCTGAGAAAGAAAAACATCTGGATGGATAAAGGAAAATTGCTAAGAGGAAGAAAAATCTAAGCCGTCTTATTTTGGACATTTGCAAGTAAACTTCATTTTGCTGAAAATCAGTCAAAGACGTGGTCTCATACATACACTTGAGCAAAGCTGGTGTTCATGGAGGGATCCAGGGAAATGTTTCTCTTGGAATGCCCCACTAAGATTGTCTTGGTTTTTGCTTATGCACCCAAAATTGGATCTTCAAAAAGAATCTGAATACATTTTGCTTTGGAAATGTATGGCTTTCATTTAAAACCATTCTCAAGCCACAACTGAGTTTTCAATAGCTTGGCTTAGAGGCTACTATAAGGAGGTACTCACACGATCCAAAAATGGAGTTACTAAAGTATTATATATGTGTTCAACCCCTTCATAATACATTAGCAATATTGACCAATACTTTAATGTTTATAGGTTTGTTAACAATTTTATTCTTTTTCTTTTCTTTTCTTTCTTTCTTATTTTTTTAGAGACAGAGTCTCACTTTGTCACCCTTGGTAGAGTGCTGTGGTGTCAGAGCTCACAGCAACCTCCAGTTCTTAGGCTTAGGCAATTCTTTTGCCTCAGCCTCCCAAGTAGCTAGGACTACAGGCTCATGCCACAACACCCGACTATTTTTTTGTTGCAGTTTGGCCGGGGCTGGGTTCGAATCCGCCACCCTTGGTACATGGGTCCGGTGCCCTACTCACTGAGACATAGGCGCCACCCCATAATTTTATTCTTAAAAAGAATGTTTTCTTCCTTTTATCTAAACATATATTGAAGCCAGATTAGGTCATTTATAAATGTCCTGAGATTTGTGGAATAAAGCATAATGCCATACGAGACTTCTTGGAAGCCAACCTGTCATTAAATGGCCCTAGTTGTTATTCCAGAACATTATTTAGGGAAAAAGCTTAAAGGAAACATTGATATAGGTAAGGAAATACACACTTGCAATAAATAGCTAAAAGTTGCCTGCGTTTCATGGTCTCTTCCTCCCCATTTCAATGGAAAAATAAAAATGATACATATACATATATATATAGTATAAAGCAAGATATGCTGAAATCTGTATGCATCGTTGAATGGCTAAATCAAGCTGATTGATATATTCATTACCTCCTTATTTTGTGGTGAGAACAACGAAAATCTACTCTCTTAGCAATTTTCAGGAAATTAAACCCCCAATGTGATAGCACCGTGAAACTATTATCCTAGAAGGGCTGTTACCAAAAAGATAACAAGGGTTGGTGAGGATGCAGAGAAAAGAGAATGCTTGCACATTTATGGAGAGGACGTACAGTAACTTATCACGGCCATTAAGGAACCCAGTGGAGAGGTTCCTCAGAAAAGTAAAAACAGAGCTACCGTATGATGCAGCAATTCTCCTACTGGGCATATGTGAAACAGGGATGTCAGAGGGACACCGCCACACCCATAGTTACTGCAGCATCACACACAATGGCAAAGATACGCAATCAACCTACGTGTCCCTCAGGGGAAGGCTGGATGAAGAAAACGGGCTGTGTAGAAACACGAGAACGTTATTCAGCCTTAGAACAGAAGGAAATCTTGTCATTTGCAATAACATGATGAACCTGGAGGGCGTCGTGTTAAGTAAAATAAGCCACGCACAGAAAGACAGATAGTTGGTCACCCCGTTTTATGTGGAATCACAGAAGCAGAGAGAAGAATGGTGGTTGCCCGGGGCTTGGGAGTTAGACGGCTGGGGAGATGCTGGTCAGAAGGGTGCAAAGTTTCAGGTAGAGGAGGAGTAAGTTCAAGGGAACTGTCGTAAACGTAAAATATGCTGGCTATGACAACAGCACAGTAGAACCTCTGTAAGTTGACCACCCAAGGGACTGTAAGAAAATGGTCAACATGCAGAGGTGGTCAGCATAAGGACCTGGGCTGACCGTACTGATATGTACACGGGGTGCATGTCCAGCCTATGAAACTAGGTCACCTTCAGGAGGTGGTCAGTGTAGCAAGGAGATCAACTACAGAAGCCCTGCTGTATATTGTATCCATCCGTGGTCATTTTTTAATGTAAATTTGGGATCAAGGAAGACTGAGGCTCATTGTAGGTCTGAACATAGTGGTTCTGGTAACAATTTGTCACAGAAGACAAAATCTAACAAATTTCATTGTGCTCATATTTGGATTATCTTCATGCAGATGCTATTATGGGTATCTTAATTGGGGCCTAGATAGATATAATTTCAGCTTAAATAGAAGCTGGCATAACTGAAATGGCAGCTTCGATGTGCCAGTTTCAAGCCATTCTTCTTTATTTATTAAAGCA